GCCCTCCACCACACCTGGCTAATTTTTGTGTTTTTTTTTTTTGAGACGGAGTTTCGCTCTTGTTACCCAGGCTGGAGTGCAATGGCGCGATCTCGGCTCACCGCAACCTCCGCCTCCTGGGTTCAGGCAATTCTCCTGCCTCAGCCTCCTGAGTAGCTGGGATTACAGGCACACGCCACCATGCCCAGCTAATTTTTTGTAGTTTTAGTAGAGACGGGGTTTCACCGTGTTGACCAGGATGGTCTCGATCTCTTGACCTCGTGATCCACCCGCCTGGGCCTCCCAAAGTGCTGGGATTACAGGCGTGAGCCACCGCGCCCGGCGTAATTTTTGTGTTTTTAGTGGAGGTAGAGTTTTACCATATTGGCCGAGCTGGTCTCAAACTCTTGTCCTCAAGTGATTCACCAACCTTGGCCTCCCAAAGTGCTGGGATTACAGGCATGAGCCACAGTGCCCAGCCTCACTCTGTTCTTTTCTATATATTCTTGCTATTCATTTAATATACTTTGGCAGTTTCTGTATATACTTGCTTCCTTGTTTCTGATTTCTACGTAATATTTCATTGGTAGATACAATGCGTAAACATTACATTACTGAGAAATATTTTTTGTTTTTTGCATTTTTGTATCATTTGTCTACAGTTATTAAAAATTAGCTGGGCATGGTGGCCCATGCCGGTAATCCCAGAACTTTGGGAAGCAAAGGCAGAAGGATTGCTTGAGCCCAGGAGTTCAAGACCAGGCTAGGAAATATAGAGAGACCCTGTCTATTTAAAAAATTATTTTTAAAAAGGAAAAAATATAGAACAAAATTAGACTAACAAAATAGGATTGGTTTTTAAAAATAATTTTTATCACCTTTAGTAAGAGATTTTAAAAGGAGTTTTTAAATTTTTCAGATGTTTCCTAAATTTCAAATGCCTTATTAACTGTTCTTTAGATAGTAAGTGGAATGGTAACAGAGTTAACCCAACAAAGACAAGCCCAATACTTGTCTGAGGAACATCAACATTAAAATTTTTCTGTGGACACATTTTTTTGTATTTTTCTCAGGTGAATGCTTGAGATGCATGTTCTGGAATAACCTTGGTTGCATCCATTTTGCCATGAGCAAGCACAATTTGGGATTATTCTACTTTAAAAAGGCTCTGCAGGAGAATGACAATGTCTGTGCACAGCTGAGTGCAGGTAGCACTGATCCAGGTAAGCCCAGTACTAGGAGACAGTTTGTATTTATTACTTCAGAAGAGCATGATTTAAAAAGCATGAATGTGGTTGAAGTACCCGCCTTGTAGACTTATAAACAGTTAACTCTGATCTTATACAACAAGCTTGGCTCTGGGGATTTTTAGTAGATATTGCTACTTTGAATAGCAATTACAAGGTGTTAAGAGTAATTCTGAATTATCCAGAAATTTAAGTTGCATTCCATTTTTCATGGATTTGAAAATGAGTTATTCCCTATGGTTAATATTATATACCAGAATGTTTGATTAGTCACAACATGACGGTGCCAAACTAGGTTTATTATAGATTTTTTTTTTTTTTTTTTTTTTTTTTTTGAGACAGAGCCTAGCTCTGTCACCCAGGCTGGAGTGCAGTAGTGCAATTTCAGCTTATTTTAACATCTGCCTTCTGGGCTCAAGTGACCCTTCTATCTCGGCCTCCTGAGTAGCTGGGACTATAGACATGTGTCACTGCATCTGGCTAATTTTTGTGTTTTTTGTAAAGACAGGGTTTTGCATGTTTCCCAGGCTGGTCTGGAACTCCTGGGCTCAAGCAATCCTCTTACCTCAGCCCTCCAAAGTGCTAGAATTACAGGTGTGAGCCACTGTGCCCAGCTTATTATAGATTCTTTGCAGAGTTTTGCATGTGATACTGTTGGTTAGCATCTGACAGTCTTTAAGCAAATTCTTAACGTTTATCCTTTAATATTCATCATCATGTGGATCCTTGATCCAAAATGCCTAAAATCAAGCAATTATTTAGCTTTTAAAAATAATAATCTATTTAATGACAAATGTATTCTAAATCAAAGTGGACTGTAATACTGAATAAATAGGTGATAACACATGATAATAAAATGGTTAACCAAGATGAAGAAAAAAGAATTTTTTTTTTTTTTTTTTTGAGACAAAGTCTCACTGTGTTGCCCGAGCTGGAGTGCAGTAGCACGATCTTGGCTCATTATAGCCTCTACCTCCCGGGTTCAAGTGATTCTCCTGCCTCAGCCTCCTGAGTAGCTGGGACTACAGGCATGTGCCACCATGCCCACTTAATTTTTGTATTTTCAGTAGAGATTTGGTTTCACTATGTTGGCCAGGCTGATCTTGAACTCCTGACCTTGTGATCTGCCCACCTCAGCCTCCCAAAGTGCTGGGATTGCAGGCATGAGCCACCATGCCCAGCCGAAAATTTCAAAAAGTGGAAACTTCTTACAGACTCTAAATATGTTGGCTGGGCAAGATGGCTCATGCCTGTAATCCCAACATTTAGGGGAGTCCACAGTGGATCATTTGAGTCCAGGAGTACAAGACTAGGCTGAGCAACATAGAGAGACCCCATTGCTACAAAGATAAAAGTAAAAATTAAACAATAAAAGAGAATAAAGTAGAAATGTAGAAAAGCAGTATAAGATTCAAAGGAATGAGAGTGGGTCCTATCTCTTATCTTTGCCTTCCTGGAGCATTGTTGACTGAGTAGCTGGTAAATGAGAAGAGACATCTCTGGCTCTGCCAGCATAGATAACTGAGATGACTCTGGAGAATATTTGTGGAGTTGAGGATGGAAACCACCATTGGTAAGAGCTATTATCAGATCAGGATTATTGGTGTCAAACATGGTAGTGTCTAAGTACTTAATGGAATAAATGTTTTCAAGGTAACCGTTACCTTTAAATCTAATGATTTATTCTTATCTAATTTTTATCACTAGGCAAAAAATTTTCAGGAAGACCCATGTGTACGTTACTAACCAATAAGAGATATGAGCTGTTGTATAACTGTGGAATTCAGCTTCTTCACATTGGAAGGCCTCTTGCTGCCTTCGAATGCCTGATTGAAGCTGTTCAGGTTTATCACGCAAATCCTCGCCTCTGGCTACGGCTGGCTGAATGCTGCATTGCTGCCAATAAGGGGGTGAGTGCCGCTTGGTATGTTTTTGAACCCTATCTTACCTCCACTTACTACATGGAATGTAAAAAAAAAAAAGAAAAAGAAAAAGAAACTTGGAAACATACATAAGACATCATTCTCTTTTATTTATTTATTTGTATTTTATTTGTTTTTTTTGAGACGGAGTTTCTCTCTTGTTGCCCAGGCTGGAGTGCAATGGCACGATCTTGGATCGCTGAAACCTCCGCCTCCCAGGTTCAAGCGATTCGCCTGCCTCAGCCTCCCAAATAGCTGGGACTGCAGGCACGTGCCACCATGCCTGGCTGATTTTGTATTTTTAGTAGAGACAGGGTTTCACCATGTTCCCCAGGCTGGTTTTAAACTCAGGTGATCCACCTACCTTGGCCTCCCAAGGTAGGGGGGAGGTAGGTGGCCTCCCACTTACCAGACTCTCAAAGTGCTGGGATTACAGGTGCGAGCCACAGCACCTGGCCATCATCATTCTCTTTTTAACTATCATTGAATGTATAGGTAGTCTTCTTTAACCACTGGGAAAAAAATTTAGTTTCAAAAATGCATTTGTTGGCCGGCCACAATGACTCACACCTGTAATCCAAGTACTTTTGGGGGCCAAGGTGAGTGGATCACTTGAGCTCAGGAGTTCAAGACCAATCTAGGCAACATAGTGAGACTGAGACTTCCATCTCTGCAAAAAATTATCTCGGTGTGGTGGCGACTGCCTGTAGTCCCAGCTAATCAAGAGGCTGAGGTGGGAAGATTGTTTGAGCCCAGGAGGTGGAGGTTGAAACAAGACCAGATAGAGCCACTGCACTCCACCCTGGGCAATAGCGTGAGACCCTGTGTCAGAAAAATAAATGAAAATGTAAAAAGTCATTTGTTAACATTCTCATTCTTGGTAAGTATGGCAACATTAAAGAGTTGAAGCCAGTCAGAAAGTCGTGTATGTTGGAACAGTGGTCTGCTAGCTGCTGCGCAGGGGTCAGGAGCCATGCCATCTGCTGGCATAAGAATAGTGTTGTGTAGCCTGCTGATTAGAGAAGGTCTGATAACATAATGTGGAAAGAACTGCATTAAGCTGGGTTTCCTTCAATGCTGGAGGGTTTTACTTTGGTTTCAGTAAATGATACAGAGTTTATGGATTACCAGGCTATTTTGGACGCATGATTGCCCGTGGTAGCTATGAAAATAGGCCAGTTTACATTGACGTCCCTGCTTAGATCATCTCCAAATGGCAGTTGGTGGAAGCCTTTTGAATTTCAGTTTGGGAAGGATCCATAGGAGATAGGGGAAAGATGCGTTGTATCAGAATTACCAGATACTTGTATCTTTCATTTGCTACCCACCCCCTGCTCTTGCTGTGCTTTTTGGATGCGTATAAACATTGGGAAGGTATGGTACCTGGAGGCTTTACCTTGCATGCCTGCCATACGTGATACAAATGTTGAGGCTTTCCTCCTGCTGAATAGCAGTTTCAGAGAAGTATAAGAGCTAAAGGGGTTAAAGAAGTGTTCGCTAGTTTTTCATACATAGTACTTCGGTAGTTTATGATTTGAGTATACCATTAGAGGAAGAGATGAATGATGTCTTTGAAAGACTTTATTTAATTATACTTTGCTTTTTAAAAGACAACTTTCTTATTGGTTAATTATTAACTGATAAACAGTTCTAGGCAGAATTTATACTTCTTAAAGATGCAAGAAGCAATTAGAAATTGCTTATTCTCTTTTATCTGTTCATAAATTTAAGTGTTGGGGGCCTTTCTTTGGTATTTACTGGAAACCAGGGAGTTACTTTTTTCTGGGACTAGAGAAAGATTGTAAAGTTTAACATTTTCTTTTTAAATTAACTGATTTTAGAAATAGTACTTTTAGGGGCCCCCTAGAGGAAAAGGGGGGGGGAGATTAAGTATTTTCCATATTAATATGCTGCCAGTCCTGTTTCTTTTTTCTAAAAAAGTTCTGAATTCGTAATTTTAAAAAAAATGGTAAAGATGACTTTTGTTTGCCATAACTTCATGAACACACACAATTTGTGCTACAGGTAGAAAACTTGCCACCAATAATATCTTTGTGCTTTTCCTCCTCCTGAAAAACACTTTAGGGTAACCTAAAAAACAGTAAAAACAAGCCCAAAACGCTAATAAAATCAGAGGACAAATCCCAAAAGGAATAACTGTAAACTCCAAATAAAATTTCATAAAATTTGTTTTATTTAGTCAGGACAGAAGGTATGCTGAACAAAGCAGTTTGTAACTTCAGAAACAAATTTATTTTGGATTTAAAAAAATTGTTTACTTGTTTATGTTGAGGAGGTCATTTTGTCCTATTGTACATGTTGTTTCCGACTTGGCAGAGGCAAGGCTTATATTTACCTGGGCAGTGTATAATATATGGGAAAAGATCTGCTAAACAAAAATAGTCCCAATATTTTAATTATGATGATCCCTTTATCTTAAAACTGATCTGGCACACCTTCTGGCTATTAGGGATTGAAGGTATGGATTATTATTGTAAGTTTTTAGTTCCATCCCATCACGGGCCAGTTTGTTTTCATCTGTTGCATCTTCAGATCTAGCCATTTGGATTATTTTTGATGGCCTTAGTAATAGGAGAAGACACTATGGATGAATCACTAAAATTGTCACCACAACTAGGAAAAGAAGTCAGAACAGAAGTCCTCCCAAGAATGGTTTAGAATATCCACTTTGTTATTAATATTGCATGGCCTTCTCTGTACACAATTAGTTTTGATCAGAGCAGTTTTATTTTTGTATTATTATATTTTTAGCACTGTGTAGTATATTCTTTATTAAAAGTCATATATGGAAGTGCAACTATAATAACTTATGTTCGGGAGCAATAAGTAACAGTAGAGAAACATTTATGTTTAGAGGAAAGACTTTTTGCAGGGCAGAGATTAGTTTTGCAAATTCATATTGATTAACTCCAGATTGTTCCAGTATGTGAGAAATTGAATGTCCTTTTAAGATAGCTAGTTGGGATTCCACCTGCAAGTAAATTAGAGATGTGTTTTATTTTATTTTATTTTTGAGAAAGAGTCTCACTCTGTCACTTAGGCTTGTGTGCAGTGGTGTGATCATAGCTCACTGCAGCCTCGACCTCCCTGGTGTCAGTCTTTCCACCTCAGCTTCCCTAGTAGCTGGGATTATAGGCATGCACGACCACACTTGGCTAATTTTTGTATTTAGGCTGGAGGGCAGTGGCGTCATCAAGGCTTACTGCAGCCTCGACCTCCCTGGCGTCAGTCTTTCCACCTCAGCTTCCCTAGTAGCTGGGACTATAGGCATGCACGACCACACTTGGCTAATTTTTGTATTTCTTTGTATAGATGGAGTTTCAAGCAGTCATCCGCCTCGGCCTCCCAAAGTGCTGGGATTATAGATTCGAGCCACCATGCCCAGTTTAGTTTTTGTTTGTTTGTTTGTTTTTAATAAAAAAAACATTTTTCCTGGCTGGGCATAGTAGCTCACACCTGTAATCTCAGCACTTTGGGAGGCCGAGGCAGGTGGATCACTTGAGGTCGGGAGTTTGAGACCAGCCTGGCCAAAATGGTGAAACCCTGTCTCTTCTAAAAATACAAAAATTAGCCAGGTGTGGTGACAGGTGCCTGTAATCCTAGCCACTCAGGAGAGACTGAGACAAGAGAGTCGCTTGAACCCAGGAGGTAGAGGTTGCAGTGAGCCAACACTGCACCACTGCACTCCAGCCTGGGCAACAGAGACTTGGCAAAACTCTGTCTCTCAAAAAAAGTAAAACAAAAATTAGCTAGTCATGGTGGCATGCACCTGTACCAGTAGTCTCAGCTACTTGGGAGGCTGAAGTGGGAGGATACTTGAGCCCAGGAAGCAGAGGTTGCAGTGAGCTGAGATCATGCCACTGTACGCCAGCCTGGGTGACAGAGCCAGACTAAAAATCCAAAACATTAGCTGGGCATAGTGGCACACAGCTGTAGTTCCAGCTACTCGAGAGGCTGAGGCAGGAGAATCACTTGAACGCGGGAAGCAGAGGTTGCAGTGAGCTGAGATCGCGCCACTGCACTCCAGCCTGGGCAATACAGCGAGACTCCGTCTCAAAAATTTAAAAATAAATTTTAAACAAGGGCAAAAGAAAAAGGTAGATACAGGGTCTCACTGTGTTGCCCAGGCTGGTCTCGAACTCCTGGTTTCAAGCCACCCTCCTGCCCCAGCTTCCCAAAGGGCTAACAGGCATGAGAGCCACTGCGTCCAGCCAAATTAGAGGCTTAGAATGAAGGGGGACGATAAATGAAATTATCACTGTGAGCTCTATAGTGAGATAATATATCTTAATCAGATATCTTAAAGTACTATGTTGTGTAAGTGCTTTTATTATTTTCACTTTAATGTTTATTCATTTGGTTTGGGGAATTTAATCTCCTAGAAGGATTGTGTTCATGTAAGTTTTTGCCTTGTACAGCTTAAGTTTATATGTTGTTGACAATTTAATTAATACTTTGAGTAAAGAAGGAAATTATCTGTGTTTTAGGAAGT